GCTGAATTCGATCTGTCCCAGATCGATGCTGTGTTCAGCTACGGCCGACTTGTCCGGATGTTCGAGACGGATGTGCCGCTGATGCTCCTTCAACCTCATGTCCACGGAGCGGCCTGTCTGCCCAATATAGACCTTCCCGCACTTGCATGGGATACTATATACACCCAGTGTCCTTAGGCCCAGGCTGTCTTTAACCGGCCGGAGGAAATTGGATAATTTGTTTGGAGGCAGACCCACTGCTTTGATGTTGTGCCGGGACAGCACTATGCTGATACGGTTGAATATGGTCCCGACATAGGGAAGGAAGGCGACTGAGCATGGATGTCTTCAGGCCGGCTGATGTTGGGCCGACGGTTGAGAACTCTGTGGATCTGCCGGTTGTTGTATCCGTTCTTCTTGAATACATCCTTCAGGAGCACCAACTCCGCATGTAGGCTGTCTTGATCACACAGTGCTCTAGCCCTGTGCACCAATGTGGAAAGTGCAGCTTGCTTGTTGGAAGGGTGGTGGTGGGACGCAGCGTTAAGGTAGAGGTTTGTATGGGTGGATTTGCGGTACACTCTATGGCCCAGGGAACCGTCGCGTCTCCTGTAAATATCTATATCGAGGAAGGGGAGGTGGCCTTCAGTTTCAGTTTCCAATGTGAACTGGATGCACTGGTGGATATTATTTAGGTGGTTCAGGAAGTCCTTGAGCTTGTTGGGACCGTGTGGCCAGATGACGAAGGTGTCGTCCACGTAGCGAAACCAGCAGCGGGGCTTGTGTGGGGCGAAGTCAAGTGCCCTCTCCTCGAAGTCCTCCATATAATATCTGTCTTGCTTGAATATACAGAAATTGATGTAAATATTTTCGGAATATATTTTAACTGAAAAATGATAGTTCATTATAACAACGAAAATCAGCAGTAGTCATCACTAGAAATCTTGTTGCCTGTTGTGGCTTAAAGAAGCACATCAAATTGCAGCAAAATTAAGGTGACACTGATTATTTTAACTGACTGTGAGGGTGCTGTTGCACCATGAAGTCAGACTGTTTGCAGACTGCAGTTTCTGCAGTGTGCAGAAACTTTTAAATGTGGTTTAAAACGCGCATTGTATGATGTAAAGAAAACTTTCAAATAAGTTTAGAAGGACACATTGCACGTAAGACGGAGAATCTGTTGAATAAAGGTATTACTCTCAATGCGGTCAAGAAAGCGTTTGAAATTTGTGGGCAATATTTGTGCCTGGGGGAATATGGAAATGTCAATGGATTTTGCTCATTTTTACGACTGGGTAATAGAAATATGCAAATTCGTAGTTACTATAGGATTCTGACGACGGTGTATAACACACAGAGATATTGGGTTTTCGGACTTTATCCATCGTCCTGGTTTTTAAGATAACTAAGAAAAACACGACGTTTCGGAAACTGGATCTGTTTCCGTCCTCAGGTGAGGGAAGACACCAGTGATTGAGGCTAGCTCTTTCTAAGGGACCCAACAGAATAGGTATTTTCCCTCACCTGAGGACGGAAACAGATCCAGTTTCCGAAACGTCGTGTTTTTCTTAGTTATCTTAAAAACCAGGTCGATGGATAAAGTCCGAAAACCTAATATCTCTGTATGTAAATTCGTATATACCGGGCTCCCTCTGCAGCAAAGGCAAGTGATTTTAAATCGTACACTTTCTCAGACATCCCATTTCATAACTTATGAAGCTATCAGCGCCATCGATTGGGCGGTAATTGTACTCTGAAATCTCTGGCACAGACGAGGCAGACGAGCCAGACGAGCTACTTGCAGATGCATAACTATACGCTTTGTAGTCGCTCTGGTCCTCAAAGTTGTGTTATAGCTTTCTCCGATGACCAACGAATGCAGAGAGTTCAAGAAAAAGTTTACTTTAGTTCACAAGAACTTACGCAGTTGTGTTATTAAAATAAATGCATGAACGTATTGATGTCTTATGGAGTGTAATTAAAATGTGGATGATATATCTCAGGTGGAATTATCGAGAACGGCGTTTGTGTGAGGTGTTGCTGCAAACAGTTGTTGAAGTGCCCTTTCTTTGAAGTATATATTTGTATACGTTATTGGCCCATTTAGGCCAGTTGCTCAGTAATTATTTTAAATATGTAGGCACTAAGTGAATGAAAACTTAACAGTCTAACCAACAAAGGGAAGAATATTATTATTGTAGGAGATCTCAATGTAGATTTTATAAAAAAAAGTGTAAATCCACAATTGCAGACAATGCTGGACTCATATGGCTTACANGTGTAAATATGTCAATCAACCTAAAATTAGTGTTATTTTTCGCGTGTTTTTAAACTCCGGATGTGTGAGAACATGTCTGTTTTTGTTATGCATGGGCGAAATTCAATATGGCTACTTACATTAAACATAGACAAGTACCCTTTAATTCATTGTTCAGGAACTGCAAATTAATTTATTTTATTCCTGGAAACCTGGTTTAATGTGGTATGTAATATGTAGTGCATGTCACATAATGCACATTTGAAGAGCCTAGTAATCATGAATTTTCCTTTTCGAGTTCTTTGTGCCAGAAATTTGACCAGGAAAGATGTATTCATTAAGTATTACTTTGATTATACGTAATTTGTGTAGCGATTGTTTTCATATAAAACAGTTTGTTAGTAACAAATAATTTTACTGAGTATTAATAATAATAATAATAATAATAGGGATAGTGCACAATGTGCAAGTTTAGTCTTTACAGAATTGAATTAATGATATGGGTCTTTTGGCACACGCTAGCACATAGCATCATTCACACTGCATATCCTGTGCTTTTCAGTTACTGGATTCTGTCTCCTGCTTCCGGTGAAGCATACTCAGATAGGGCGAAATCGATGAAGATAAATAACACAATTTCCCCACTTATTATACACAGAACATAGATGTAGTTTTCATACTTCTGTGGAGATAATGTGACTCGACACAGATAGAGCCCACCAAGCTGGGTTGACTGACACGTGAGCAAATTCCTTGTATTTCCTGTAACTGCTGTGTGGTACAATCTGCAAGGCCTTCTGTACTTCCCAACATAATTTTTTACCTTCTTAGTGCTCACATTGGGTTAATTTCGATTTTTCAATTTTTTTTTAATGTTTGCCTTATGGGTGTGTTGTCCTCTAGGAATTGTAAGAATATTGCAGAGGATGATGCTGTCATTGGTGAGCCCTTCCTGTTTGTAGCAGTTGTTATTAAATTGGAATGAGCA